TTCATATTTTCTTTTTCTATTGCTTGAATTTTTTTTTGTTTATGCATGTATATGCGTTGTGCTTAAACATATATATGAGTATGTTTGTATCATATTTTAAAGGTTCAGATTATTTAGCCAAATTTCGAGCATTGCTAGATTCGATGTGAGAATCAAGTAAAAGTGATATTGGCAGCCAATGATGAATGTATCGGCTCATGGATTTGCCTTGTCATTGGCAGCCAACATTTTTCGCTGATCAAATGCTCGCGACTCGAGTTTGGACTCATTGTTTGGTTCAATAATCTGGATCACTGTATAAAGATATCACTGTATAAGATGATTTCACTTGCCCACTTTTCTCCTAGAAAGCTATCACGAAATTAAGATTGTTCAGACACATAATGCTAAGTAGCATAATGATCTGACAGCTAACCTAATAATTGTAATGCTGATTCTACAATAAATCGGTAATTGATAGTAAGTCTTATCGATGAATCGGTGAAGTTGGTCAACAGCCAATTTGTATGACTAAGATTATCGATTTTTTTAAGACTGGCCAAATTTGATTTTATTCCTTCCCATTAATTGAGCTAACGACTCGCTGGTCTAATTGACTTGTAGATGCGAAAAATCATAGTTACCTATTTAGGTGACTGGTTAAAACTTAAGATTTCCGACTACCGATTCATTATAGAATCAGTTTAAGAAATAAAATGTATCAATACACAGATGTATAAATTATATTGTCCTGGATTATTGTCCTGGAATATTGTAACTGGATTATTGATATAAATTGACATCAAATATAAACTTATTATTTATGTCGAGCAAGTGAATAATAATGAAAGAATTACAACAATTTTTTGATATGATCAAAAATTGATGAATCATTACTTACATATTAATTAATACGAGGGCAAGTCAATAAGTTCTTAGAAAATCTGTCAGAGGGATCTGTCATCACTCGCAGTATCATGTCATTTTATTTTTTGACAAGTAGCATCTCTCAGCTGAATACTGTTAAATTTTGAGTGGAATTCAATTTCATTTCTATAGACGATTAAAGCGAACAACCTTTGTATATTTTGCAAAATAGAAAAAAACGAATAAAAACGAATTTCGTGCAGTGTGATCAAACATTTACATATGAAAAGTTTAACGCCGAAAGAAAGTCGAGTTAGATAATGTTCATGGCATCAGCATTTGCGACTGTATACAATTGGGTAAATGAATTTAAATGTGATCGTACATCCATATGTGATGCACCTCGTTCGGAATTTCCAATTGAGCTACGTTAGAAATCCATCTCTGTGAAGTTGACATTTCATTTTTCAAAAAATGAAATTTTGGTCACAGTTCCGAATACACTCCGAAGAGTTCTGAAGTTCCTGTCCAAAATTAATAATAGTTCCGGTGAATTAATATAAAAAAAAAAATTAAAAATTTGAGGTAACTTCACAAAACGAAGAACGAAAAATGATATCTTCTAAACCATCCTAGCACTTTAAATGATAATAACTTTTATTGAAATTTTCACCCGAGAAATTTCTAACATCCGAGGGATGAAAATTTTTGTAATGTTCTGGCAATTCTGTTGACAGTTCTGAATAGCACCCCAAGAGTTCTATTAAAAATTATTATCATTTAAAGCGCTAGGATTAATGGTTTAGAAAATATCGCGATTTTTCGTTCTTCATTTTGTGAAGTTAGCATCCCAAATTTTTATTTTTTTTTATTTTTTTATTTTTTTTATTAATTCGCCGGAACTATTCTTAATTTTGGGTAGGAACTCCAGAACTCTTCGGGATGCATTCGAATCTGTGACCAAAATTTCATTTTTTGAAAAATGAGGTACCAACTTCACAGAGGTATAAAGTCCACGATATTGTTTTGACTGATCGCGAGCTTATGAAATCACTGAGACACAGTGATTTCAATTTTGCACGAACAATTGGGTATGAAAAAGCTATCTGCAAGATGGGTACCGCGTTGCTCACTGTGGACCATAAGCGTGTGATGATTTCAAAACAATGTTTGGAGATGTTTCAACGTAATCTAAATGAATTTCTGCGTCGATTCATTACTGTGAAACGTGGATACATTACTTCATACCCGAGACGAAGGAACAGTCAAAACAATGGACTTCACGGATGAACAGCTCCGAAGAAGGCGAAGATTTTTGTTGTTGAGTGAATATCTGATAAAAATAAAGTCGGTAATATAAAAGTTATAGTGTCAATCATCGATAATTTGTTGAACGTCAGATGCCAATCAGAATCAATGATGTAAAAATTACAGCTTAGTAGTTTAACAGTTATTAAAAAGAAAGAAAAATGTGGTATTAATACGCAATTAATTTTGTAAAAAGTAAATTCATAAACTTATAGCAGAATCTAAGGAGTCAAAATGAACTATTTCTCTAAGCTCGATTAAATGCACAAATTCAGATGAAAAAATCGGCACTATAAAATAATAATAGGTAAATTAAATTAATGATTCTTGTATCAAATAAATATATGTTTACATTTAATAAATATTCAACTGGTACTATTCAAACAAATATTTATTAAAATTTAGTACATTTTTTTCAGTGTATAGACAAATTGGAGTTGAGCCTATCGCCGCTAGGCATACTAATACTTTTTCTTGTTTTTCTGTAATGCGTTTGTCCCTGGTAAGGATAGAATCTGGAAAAGAACTACTTTCTTATTAAGATTAGGTGGGCTCATATTAAATGCAGTTTTTAAATATAGGATATTTTCATCTACCGCAATCTCCGTTGAGATTGATGTGTCGTTTTTCTCCCCTTTCTCTTTTAGTTCAAAAGAGTTAATCTATTGTTTTATATAGATTGGACTGAGGGAATTACGAGAGTTTCCTGTGATTTTCCTTAAGGGAAAGGTGATTCTTTTTTACGATAATCAATGTGATGCAGTGATTCCTCATATGTTATATGAATTTCGACACTTACCTGCTTGGACTGTTAACATTGTGACCGACTTGTTGAAAAAGATACGCGAATAACTTCGAGAACGTTGTCTGTCTGAGTGCTGTGAACTGCAGACAGCGAGCTTAAATTAGTACTATTGCCTAAAATAAAACAAAGAGAAAAACTTGTAGATTCTTCATTCTGCATATGAAAGTAAGTAATTGGCTTTTAGTCATTGGCTATGTCAATGAGAACTTTTAGCCATTTGGACTAAACAGTGATTTGTACCGTTTTCATGTCGATATGGGACGTCTTGTTCTCCAGAGGAGCTTGTCCGACTCTGTCACTTACAATTAAGCAAGTACTTGACTTTTTTTTGATAAGGCAGAAGAAATTGTGCGAGAACGGACCGAAGATTATACGGGATTCGCACTCATTGAAACCTCCTAACCACAGGTCGTGTGTTGGAGGGCGCACAGCATGTAACTACTACTAGTGCGACTCAGCCTGCCGACTCTATTGGTGGCTCCTAGCCAGTGAGTCCATGAGGTCGTTATCTACTTCAGAGCGAGTACATACCGCCCCGGGAGCCCCACCTCCATGAGGGAATGGCGAGGGTCGGAGCCGGATTCTCGACTCATGATCCTTCCTCGCTAGAAATAAAAGCGCACAGCGCTGTCTTCGCACTGGTCCCTACTAAAACCGCGAAGAAGAGATGCGGGGGGGAGGGGGGAAGGGGGAGTTTAGCTCTGTCCTTAATTTCTCCGACGCCAGCGTCATTGCACGTAAATGCGCGCGGATGACCTCGGCATGCAGTTGGTGATTGGGCCCCTAGATTTCACTATGAGGGGAACGACTTTTTTCATCTTTTCTCCTTTTTTTTTGAGGATCTCTTGCTCACAGAAGGAGGAAATCATTTTTCACGATCTCTCACTCCGCACCACAGATTATACCACGGCCGGGAGTAAGAGGTCATCTCCCATCTCTTCGATTAGGACAGCGCGCTCCGTCTCCTAGGCGAGGCACTTCGCTAGGGTATGCTGGAGGCTAGGGTGTCCAGATGTACTACGCAATGATAACTTTTTAGCAATACATAGATATTTACCGAAACATTCGTAACCAATAAGCACCTATGTCAGCCAGTAGGTCAGCCCGCCATGTCTATCCAGTCGCGGAGGATACAATGGCCCCGATGGTTCGATTGGCGTTGCGCGTCCAAGAGGCGGGACTGCCATTCCTCCATAATGTAATTCCTCGCTGCTTTCTCCATCATTCGTGACCCGCCAAGCGACGCTGTCATACGGTAAATGGCCTGTTTTCTAGCCAAAAGGTCAGTGGACCCGCGCGGCGATGGCCGTGGCACAATCCTGTATTCTCTGGCGATATGTAGAACCAGTTGCCATTAGACGCGAAACAGCGTCTGTTTAATAACTAGTTGTCGCCTCCGCATCCTATACCAGGATCCCATAAAAGAGCTCCGCCACGGTGTGCATATACATCCGACGGATGTCAAAGATTCCCTGCTGGGTACTTCCCCGATATCATATCATCCTTATTGTTTAATAAACGTTAAACAAGGATGATATGACTCTTAAGAAGAACCCCGATGGGAATCAAAATGCGCCTTAACAAACGCTATTCAGTCTGATATAATAATCATTTCATCCTTGTTTAATATTAATGAACAACAACAATGTAATGATATACTGTATCTATACATTAAACTGTAATGATAATAATTAATATATATGATGTTACAATAATAAAAGAATTTCAAGATAATTGAAATATTTATTGATTTTTGGTAAACATAATTTTTTTATTTTTAACATAAATTGAACTATTGAAAATTTATGTATTTGAAATTGTTAGATTTGGAAGGTAGGATTAAGATATAGAAAAAATAGAATTTAATATTTCTTTTATGCAATATAAAATATGAATATATTCATATTTTATATTGCACAAAAGAGAAATATGAATGTTATCCTTTTTTTACAATTTATTATATTTTTTTTTTTACAATTATATTTTACTATTTATATTATATTTATTATATATGTTTATTATCTTATATTTAATTGTTCTACATGTATAAACCGTGTGTATTTTTGCTACTCTATGTTTGTAACCAAAAATGATACTGCTTTAAAATGTAAGAAATACATATATGCTATTGCTATTTTTGCTGTGCATTATATACTCTATTCATGGTAACCTATCTATGGTCGAGAAGGTCGCTATTATGTCAAATGGTTAATGTAGTGAAAGTATTCTTCCATAAAATAATATTTTTATCTCTTACACTGCTTGATTTTATTATCTTGAAAATAAGCTCTCATGCATGTTAAGTTTATAATGAGATTTGTTATTGATAGATATTGTTTATTACTTTGATTATTAATGTAATTTAGTTTATAATTTTTTAATTCGATGTGTTTAAAACCTTTGTGAGTTGTGAATAATACATATATAAAATCAAGTTTTAAATCATTCATTGATTCACTTTTTTATAACATTTTTTTTACATTTGACAGTATGCACAGGGGCGATCTCGCAAATTTCAGTGATCTTGAAGTATGTTGTCAAGATCATGATCCCGAACGACCTCCAATAAGTTTTAGTCTCTCGTTATTCATTAAAAAAAATTATTATTATTAACAAAATAAGTCTAAGAAATAATGTCTCTTTTCTATTACATAAAACAAAAATTCTATTTTAAAATAAATTTCCTGCTTAAAAAACAAAAATTTTCTCTGAAAACATTATCTTTTCATATAATTTCTGTTGTTAAAGCTGAAAATTTTTTATTTTGTAACGATTTTATTTGTCGCGAAACGAGAATCATCCTACATTTTTTTTCTGTCTACATAGGAAGAAATTTGAAATAACTTCTCAGTGATGAAGCTGAGAATGCCAACTCACTATAAGCGATTGCATTGAATCCAGTGTGGAGCTGTCATGGCTCCAACTTGGCAATGATACGGTTCGAATTTTCGTGAGTTTTTTAAATTTAAAAACCATTTAATGAGGCGTGCATGCTCTACAGGCGCGACAGATAATGATACATATTGCATCACATTACGTATTTCATTCATACGAATGAAAACTACATCACATCATTCTACGTTGGAGTTTATAGCTTCAGCGCGGTGTTGCAAGATTTATAAAATTCACACATGCGCTAGCGCAGCGTAAGCCGTTATCAGCGTATTTTACTATTACACATATTTTACTATTATCGTTATGCCCCTCTTATAAAAGTATAGAATATGATATTAATGCATTAGAGATTTTAATCAGTGTGGATAAGAATGAATCAATCTTGTGAACAAGAAAAAGAGAACATATATAAACATATTTTATATTGTATAATTATATTTAAATACATATTTATATTTAATTTCATATAAATCTTTTTTTACAGAATACTAATAAGTTTATTTATTCCAAGTGATATAAAATTATTAAATTTTTATGTAGACAATATCTAGCGTTTGGGAAACGCTATTAACGCTATTTGTGTCATTCTATCATTCAACTAATATATGTTTAATATATTGTACTTAATGTATCAACATTTTCTACAGCATTAATATTAACATTGATTAACATTGATAAAAAATGCATCCCGGCGCTAAGAAACGCTCTATAATGAATTTGAATACGAGTGTGTCAAAATCAAGTCACATAATCTAATCTACAACGTAGTGTTCGCATGCGCAGATAGGTACGTCTATTAAACTGGCACAGCCACTTCATTACAATCAAACGCGACCGATATCATTTTTTGCTAATTTTTTGCTCTATTCCCGATGTTTTTGCTCTAGTCGATTCGCTAAAATCCATGGCTATGCTAGCTTAAGACTAAAGTTAGCACAGCACACAAAGAAAAATAGTAACAAATGAAAAATCAAGTACATATTATTGAAAGGCTATTTTTTGCTAACTTTTTGCTCTATTCCCGATTTTTTATTCATTGTTTAAGTCAAAAATTTCAACCAAGAAATTGTGGCTGTGCTAGTTCGCGTACAAGAGTAAAATACCTTAAACTGATTTCGGTCTTAAAATGTAGAATTAATTGCTTTAAGAATATCTCAAATCAGAATTTTTTGCTCACTGTTTAAGTCGGAAAATTCGATCAGCAGTGTGGCTGTACTGGCTCGCATACAAGAATAAAGTACCTTATAGCAATTAATTGTTAGGATTATTCCGATCTTAAAATGTTTGTAGAATTAATTGTTCTATGAATATCCCAAATCGGAATTTTTTGCTCACTGTTTAAGTCAAAAAATTCGACCAACATTGTGGCTGTACCGGCTCTATTCTACAAATATTTTAAGACCGAAATGAGCCCAGCAATTAATTGTTTTAAAGTACTTTACTCTTGTACGTGACTCAAAAATCGGGAATAGAGCAAAAAATTAGCAAAAAATAGCCCTTCAAGAATATGTATTTGATTTTTTATTTGCTGCTTTTTTCTTTATAGCTGTGCTAACTTTAGTCTTAAGCTGGTACAGTTATGGATTTTAACGAATTGGCTAGAGCAAAAAATCGGGGATGGAGCAAAAAATTAGCAAAAAAAAAAATGTATTATGTTGTACCAAAAATGGTATCGGTTGCGTTTGATTATGCTGAAGTGCTTAGACGTCAGATAGGTCCCGCCGGGGGATTTATTCCACGAATTTTGCAACACTGCTCCAGTGAGCGCTACGGAGTCGGCATGCATCCGATTCGTGCCAACTCCAGTTAGATAGGGTACCACGGAGTAATAAGGAGTTTAAACTCAAGCGGCCGGTCCCAAAAAAACGGGCTCGAACGGTATCGGAAAAGCGCTGTATTGAAGAATAATTTGAGCGCTCTTGTCGGAAAAAACTGTCAACTTAGAGGATTTGATAAATATTTTTCTTCCCATTTTCCTGTAATTCTATAAATTTATGTATTTTCATGCGTAGAATATATTCTGAGAAGGAAAGTTGTCGTTCAAGGCCTGTTTTTATTCTTTTTAATTTCAAAGTTTTTTGTCGATAAGTTAAAAGATGATAATTTAACGATAATTTATGACTATGCATAATGTATGTATTTTTCAATAAATATTGATGCATTTACTATTTAATCAAATAAAATTAAATTTTATACAAATTGGAATTTCTGTATTAAAAATAAAACATGCATACATATGTATTCCGTACACGTTATCAAGTGTTATATACTTCTAACTTTTTCCGCAATTAAAATCGTATCATCTCGATTTTCCATGGATTTTCCGACACCGTGTTTCGAATCCATTTTTATCCTCGAATTTTTGATCTTCTTATTACTCCATGTAGAGTACTATATAAAGTAGGAATGTGCATCCGCATTGGCTCTTAGTCAGTGTGAGAAAATTCGTCTGACTTTTCATGCGAAACGAGTTTCATCCCATATTATCCTTTTTTGCCAAGGAGCGTCCTCGTGAAACGAGGTTCCTGCCCCTCCTCCTTCTGCTCAGAACTCGTTTTACATAGAAAGTTGGACGCATCTTGGCAGGAGGGAGGGGAGAAGATAAAATCAAACTTGCTTTGCATGGAAAGTCGGACACTTCTTGGCAGGAAAGGGGGAGATGGGGTAAAACTCGTTTTGCGTGGAAAGTTGTGTACCCCCTAGGCAGGAGAGGGTTTTATTTTAAAACAGAAAATTTTTGTTTTATGTAGTAGAAAAAACATTATTTCTTAAACTTATTTTGTTAATAATTTTGAAACGCATAACAAGTGACGGCCAAATCTTGTTGGAGGTCATAATCTTGACAACATATGTGAAGATTTGAATTTTATGAGAAGTATGCCCTTAGTATGCATAATTATTTAATTGACTATTTTACGATTTTATTTTTATAATCCGAATTTCTTCAAATTTCATTGAATTGTTCTAGATGGCTGACAAGCCAAATACCCTGGCATTATACTCTCAAAGTCAATTAGATCATATGTGCGCTCTGGATATCAACAGTCAAGTATCTTTTGTCCGTTTATCTGGTATCATTTGCACAATTGGTCCTGTATCCAGATCTGTGGAGATTTTAGAAAAAATGATTGAGACGGGAATGAATATTGCTCGATTAAACTTTTCTCATGGGTCTCATGAATATCATGCTGAGACTATCGCTAATGTTCGCCAGGCGCAAAAGAATTTAACTGCCCGTGCTGGTATCAATATTCCTGTTGCTATTGCTCTTGATACAAAGGGTCCTGAAATCCGTACCGGTCTTTTAGAAGGCGTACGTAATTAATACATCTAAAATGTAAGAATTAATTCTTATGTAATAGTAAAATTTATCATATTATTTTAACAGGGTGGCTCGGCTGAAGTTGAGTTAATTAAAGGCCAGACTTTTAAACTATCCACTGACAAGGCATATATAGAGAAAGGAAATGCTCAAGTTGTGTATGTTGATTACGAAAATATCTCAAAGGTATTAAAGACGGGCAATCGCGTATTCGTGGACGATGGTTTGATTTCTCTCATTGTTTCCGCTATCAGTGAGTACATTTGTATGTGAAAATATAAAATTGAAATGTTACATGTGATACGTTTCTGATTATGTAATAGCATTTGATTATTTTAGCTTCAATTTTTTTTATCAACTGTTTTTGCGCATTTTGATAATAAGAAATGTTACTATATATAACAATACATACGAAAAATATATGGAATGTTACCTTATTTATTCATTTTTTAGGCCCTAATTTAATCTCTACGACTGTTGAAAATGGTGGTATATTGGGTTCGCGCAAAGGTGTGAATTTGCCAGGAGTGCCAGTGGATCTTCCAGCAGTATCGGAAAAAGATAAATCCGATCTTCAGTTTGGTGTTGAACACGAAGTCGATATGATATTCGCCTCCTTTATTAGAAATGCTGCTGCATTAACTGAGATTCGTGATATTCTCGGTGAAAAGGGTAAAAACATCAAAATTATATCGAAGATCGAAAATCAACAGGGTATGACGTATCTTGATGAGATTATCGATGCATCTGATGGTATCATGGTAGCACGTGGTGATTTGGGAATAGAAATACCACCGCAGAAGGTATTCCTGGCACAGAAGTCTATGATCAGCAGATGCAACAAAGTTGGCAAACCAGTAATTTGTGCTACGCAAATGTTGGAGTCTATGATAAAAAAACCACGTGCTACGAGAGCCGAAACTTCAGATGTTGCTAATGCCATTCTCGATGGTGCTGATTGTGTTATGTTGTCAGGTAATTAATTTATTTTGATATTAATTTATTTTGATATATTAGTATTAGAAAAATGAATATATAATAAAACAAAATAATATTAAGAAAAAATTCTCAAAATAAATTAAAAATTCAACAAAAAAATGGGCTAATCGAAATAAGAACTATAAGTAATGTGTGTAATTCAAAGGTCTAATTTCTTAATCCATAACACGAATGAATACATTAAATTAAAATCTGTACATGTTTCGGCTAATTTTATTATTAATCTTCTTCCAGCAATCAGTTAATATGAACAATTACAGTAGTATATACATGCTTGAAATCCGCCAATTTTAAGCAAGCATTGCTTGTCAATCACTCTCCTATAAAGAATAGAAACTCGCGCCAGTTTGAAAGCTGGATGGTATCGAATAACTAAATATTTTAAATGTCAATCTAATATTAGACAACTCAAAATTAAATATTCATAATCATGAGAAATTTTCATCCGAACAAAACTAATGCACGATATAACAGAACTAATATTTAATATATATCATTTGGGACCTTGAATTTTGGCAGAAATATTCCAAATGATGTCAAATGAATGAATCCTTGTGGGACAAAATTGGATTTTCACCGATAAGAAGGTTTAACGTCAAATATTTAAATAAAGTTATATACCATCTAAATGGATTTCCTTTATACAGCTCATTTCAAGTCACTTCCGAATAATCTTGATGTTGATCTCTTGATCTCCAAAAAGATTTATCCTATCTTCGTGCAGGAAGGAGGTAAATGGAATAGATCTCGTTTCGCGTGAAAAGTTATCCGAAACAGGGGGAAGATGGAATGAAACTTCGCGTGGAAAATCTTATGCCCCTTGGGTAAGGGGAGGAGATGAAGTGAGTGAAACTCACTTCGCGTAGAAAGTTCTGCGCCCCTAAATACGGAAGCAACATTTACGAAATTCCATTCCAACGACATAACTTTAAGTAAACATTTTTGATATTAAACTTTTGTATCGGTGAAAATCTATTCAAAGACATTTATTTGACATTATTTGAAATATTTCTATCAAAATTCAATTTATGTAATACTAAAACTTGAAAAATATTTGTAATGAATCAAGAATATGTATCACAAAAATATTGCTGATACAGTGTCAAAATTCAAACTAGCGTATACTGATATCATGCAACAAGTAAAACCTAAGTGTGTAGTACTTTATTTTCATTATTTATTGAATGTTATTGATATGTATCGTTGTATAAAAGATATGATATCAACAACTGGCGTCAAGTTAAATTCTACTAAATAAGAACCCAATTAAGAATCCGAATAGTGTTTGTTATTTTAAACTCAGTAAAAAATCGATTCAAATAATTAAAATAATAAATATATAATATGAAAGAGTTACGAATCAAGCTGGATGTTTTATGTTAATAACTTTTATATAAGCAAGTAATCTATATTGATGATATTACAGACAATGTTTTTACGTATAGTAAAAAACAAAAGCAAGGAAATATATAAAATTATGCAAATTCCATGACTCGAGTAACTAGGCTACAAAAAAATAATCGATCTTCCTAGGAAAAAGACTTATCACATTCCGAGACGATGACCTCTTTTGAAACTGATAATAATATTAAAAGAGAAATATCAAGCCTCTAAGCAAGTAACTAATAACGGAGACAAAGATAAAATACTGTGCATTCATTTAACCTTGGGTGGCATTCAAGGAAAAGATTACTTTTTTTTAAATGGAACTTCCTATTTTCCATTGCATACTTTTGTATCTTATCTTGAGAGCTTTCCAAAACACTAATAACATATTTTTTCATTAAGTACTCAGATAGTCAAGTCTGTAGAAAGCAGATTTTTTAAATGTCTGCTACACACTATGCCAACCAAATAACAACAGAATTAGATGTACATAATACTGTTGATAGACTGCTAAAAAAAACGTAACAAAATCCATAAACGTCAGATAATGTCGACAAAATCTGCTTAATTTCTGTCAACAATTTGTTTTCACATTATGTCGACAGGTGATGTTAACATAACACACAAACCTAATGCGAACGCAGTTTCTGGCAGACTGCCGTCATTTTCTGCTCGAACCTGAGAAACAGTCTGCTAGAAAACTGCAGACATTTGATCTTTTATCTGGGTACTTTTCAAGTTTTAAGAGTTGAAAGTTACAGTACTGCATTTAGCATTATCCTAAATATCTAACCGACAGCTAAAGCGTCGTCTACAATGGCCAGTATTAGTAGTGATAAAGATGATACATTGGAAATAACTGATTTTCCGGTATAATAGGGCGTAAAGTAAGTGAATGGTTGAAATCCATTTCCTACGTTCTACTCTCTTGTTGCTTACGGACTACTTCTACTACTTATTATAGACAATGCCTTAAACCTCTTGAATGTCATTCAGAATTTTGACCTTATCAATTGATAACATTTATCAATTTCTTTTTGGAGATTATATCTCTTATTTTCATTTTTGCATTGAAAATCACAAGGAATATGGTCTCGCTTCAAGTAATTAACGCGAGACCGCCTCTTTACGTGGCAAGTTGTGAGCATCCGAAATTATCAGATCTCTCAATAAATGGCTGAATCGATCAATTTCGCGATGTGAAATACGAAATGTCAAAATTTTACATTAAAATACGCGTTCTTGTCGCCCTCGAAATTGTTGTCTGTTTAATATTTTAAATGGCAGATGGCACTCGACATTACTTACCTATAGTTTCATTAGCACTGTATCGATATATCGATAGAGAGCTAGATTGCTATCATTCGTGGTATTGCTTCGTGAAAATATATCGTTATCGTAACGACCGCAGCGGAATTCTGCAGATATTTTATATAATAAAAAAGCTGCGTGTACTATCGTTATGAACTCATAATGACTGCATAACGAGTTACAGAAAACAGGCTCTGCACAAACTTTTGCATATTGCATAATGCATAATGTATAAGAAAATTAATCAAAGTTTCTCTTTTCCTTGAAATGGAAGGAAAGAAAGGATTTCGATTGGTTGATTTGCTTATACACTATATGCTATTATGCGTTATGCAAAGATTCTGCGCTGCGGCCTTAATCAGATATGTAAATTCTGAAATATCTGAATTATTCTAAATTTCGTAGAAAAAATGTGAAAAATTTTTTTAAAAATTACAAAATTATATGGAGAATCATATGAAAAATTCATTTATTTATATACAATTTTATATAATTTATGCAATTACAATTACATCTTACAAGGGAATGGTCGAAGTTAACTCTCATCAATTTTAATGAACTTTAGATGTTGTAGATCATGAAAAAATATTAGACCCATTTTTGTACTTATCTCAAAGTTTAGGGATGAAACATCTCGAAAATAGTAGATTGTGTTTGTAGATTGTATTTGTCTTATAAATATCTTTTAAACTGCGAGGTAATGATATATCCAAAAATATTTTATATACAAGTTGCATGGTTTCTTATGCTTTGTATAATGGTATAAAAGACATGTTGCTAAAATCAATTTTGGAACTGATTGTTATAAACAATTTTTACATTAATAAAAAACAATTTAAGAAAGAGTTATACTTCTTTAATAATTTTTCCCATACGATTGATCACTTTTTCTATACAATCAATTTTTAACATTTTGTTACAAAATTTATTTATTAATTTATTTTTGCAACTTTTTTATACAGTTATATAGAGCATAAGAAACTAGAGAACTTTTATATAAAACATTTTTTTATATTACTGTAAATATGAAACGCCACTACGGTCTGTTAAGATGTTGAACTATTATATATATTCAACTACTATTATATTCATTAATTCATATAAATGAATTAATTTCAGAAATGATAAATGCGTGCCGATATGATTGTCTTTCAACGCAATCAATCTGAAATATTAATAATCCCCCAAATTTTTCAAATTTCATCTTAAAAAAACTGTAATAAACTTATTGCGAAAAATATTGCCTCGGCCGGGAATCGAACCCGGATCTTCTTCATTCCATTGCGAGTGTCCTAAGTCTTTAGACCTTTAGACTACCGAGTCTCGATGATTTTTCCTTTGCAAAAATTTTATTTTCAAATTACAAGAAGAAATAGTGTATCACGGGCCGCGTAGAGAAGACAGGCAAGAGCGGTGTTCACAGTTACATGCGAGCGCTTTACGCGCGGCATCAACGGACGCATTCATGTTTATAAAAATACGGTTCTTCTTACTTTTCCCCTCTATCACACTATTTCTTTATCTTTTATACATACTTTAAATATGCTAATTTCGTTAAATTATAAATTAGAATGATAAAATTAAAATGAATATAGAACCCTTTGAGTACCGGATTGTTTTTTAATTATATTGATAAAATTATTAAAGAAATGTTATAAAAAAGTGAAATTAGATAACAATTACGTGCGATAAGCATTATAAAACTATTATTGACATACAAATCAAACAATTATTTTAGTACGTCGAATTGTAAGAAACACTCTTAGAATTCGACTGAAATACTTGTTAAACTTAATTGTATGTAGGCGTTATAATACTTGTAGCACGGAATTATTTTATGTTGTCCAATTTCTCACTTTTATAAAAATTTCTCTAACCATTTTATCTGCGCTATCGCGCTCGTAGCATTTATTACATTATTATGAGAAGTCTTATGACAAATGTGATCGCGCTTTTTAGCAGTCAAAGAGTTATGAATGTTTAAAACAAAAACGCCAAATAAAGCCAAATAAAATCTTTAAAATCTTATTATTATCTTAATTATAAAATTTTTATTACTTGTAGATGTTCAATGATTCCATCTCTATGATTTTTGCTCTAGCTTCTTGAAACAGTCGAAGGAATAAGTTTGGATGCATCTTAATAAGTGCTCGATACAACGGTTTACTGTAAATCTCTTTTTTCACTCAAATATTAAATCTTTTAAATATTTAGATATCAAGTTATATGTTTTCACGATAAGATTCTTTTATAAATTGTGTTACGTTTCAACATATTGA